ACATTCAATTGAGTCTCCCGTGAAAACCAAATTGATTTGCAAATGACTGTATTTCTCGAAAACAGTCCAATTTGGGTTCAAGTAGAAATTCGGAAACTCGGGGAATGCGCCTACCTGATGAGCCCAGTGAAGGGCGATCCGGTCGTGGATGGTCGAAAGGTTTTCAGCAACGTTGCGAGTAGTTTCCTTTATGATTGGTGGACACTGACACTGTGCTGTCCCTGTGCGCCATAATCAGGAAGGACCGATTTAATCGAGGCTGTTGCGAACACCAATATGAGTTGCCGGAAACTATTTGGTCACAATTCTCTCCATTGGATTTTGGAAGGGCCTGAAGAAGAATGAGGATCTTGTTTATAAGCCCACTGAGTTCCATATTGATTGATTATTCCAGTTTGCCTTTCGCTTAAGTGCGAAAAAATGACGATTACGCTCAACTCAGCCAGGAAGATGTGAAGAAAACAGAAGCGAATAAGGAAAACGTATGGGAAGCTTAGACCGAAAGAAGGAGATGAAAAGCACAAGACAATCCAAACCACTCAGTAGAAAGTACTCAAACACAAGTATGTAGCATTTTGCGCATCTTCAGGGATCAGTAAAGAATACACTCTAAAGTATTTTATTCTGAAATAAATACGACAGGTAATGTCCATTTCTGCCCTAATTTATTTCTCCCTCTATCGGTTTCGGAATACTAGCTAACAGGTTCCTTTCTATTCATCCAGTCCATTCTCAAATCTATAATTCTTCTGCATTTTGGGCAAAAGTAAATTTTTCAAACATTTCACCGAACAGCTTAGCTCGTGTGTAAATGGGTAAACGTGTTCCTTAAATTGTCTTCACAGATGGAATTGTCAGATAAGGGAGAGAAAACATTTATTCATTGTTCATGTTTCTCTATCTATAGTGATAGTGAGCATCGATGTTAATTTTAAAAGGAGCAAAATTTTTTTTGCTGTAGAGGAGGAAAACAGCTGGTTAACTCAACCGATGAACTGATTCAGGCAGGTGAATGATTTCACTTTTGAAAGGTTAACCAACCAAGTTATGACGAACAAATAACGAGTGAAAAATGTACATAGACTAAAATGTAATTTAATGGAAGACTTGAGTGCTGATCGAATAGGCTATCCAATTTATGGGCTGAATGATATGTTCGTTTCGTTCCCTCGTGACCACTGAAGTCGGCCAAGAGGAAGCTTCTTTCCAATCCTGGGAGTTCTTGTTTAATAAGCCAAATCACTGTTTTTATGTGTTCAAACAATCTTCTTGGGGGACTTCCCAACTGGCTTGATTGTGAGGGGATCGGGAACAACTGTCGGTGAGTTGGTGGCTTAGGGAGGGCGGACTTTTTTATCTGCAGCGCCTGGATTGTATAGCTGCATTCCTGACTAAAAACGAACAAAGCCCGCAGAATAGATGAACTTGGCTTGCGTTGTCCTTAAACTGTGCGATACTGGGATGATTGATTGGTGGCTCTAAACTGGATTGGGAAAAATAACGCCACATGGTGTCACGTTGTATCCTGCTGCAGGCTGCCTGTCGCATGCTACGTCTACAGTGACTTTGGCAATATAGAAGCCTTTCTGTCCATCAAGCTAGTCAATGTTGTTGAAGAAGTTTACCCTCGGGTGTTATTTTGAATGCGCATTTGTGTATAGGCGCTGCAAAATGATGAGCCTGTGGTTATATATGTCTTGTTGACTCCGGGTCATCGTTTGTACGGTTAGTCCCATTGGCTCGTTCATTGGCCTCTTCTGTGGTTGCTCAACCTCTAGGTTTCGACCTCTACTAGTTGCAGTTGGTGACCTTTGCCTCATTCCTTCCATGGCTCACTTGATTGTCGTCTGGTCTCATCGTCTGAGAGACCGAATTGTCTACTCGAGTTGACGATCATTCGGTCGTAGTGATGAGCATATTGTGCAGGTCACAATAGACAATTTTATCGAGCTTTTAGTTTGTAGGAATTGTTTCGCTCGTCTCAAATTTTCAGGCGCTGTGATTTTTATAATTTCTGGATTGAAGTTCCATCATTTATGATTTTAGTGTGGGGAACTGTGGATAAATGTTCACACCTGCACTTGATTAAGTCTCAGCGTAGAGTTCATGAACTGTGTCTTATTTGGCGACAACACCGTTGTGATAATATTGCCAAGCAAACAAAACACCAGCCTCCAAGTCCCCATTGGACTTTTCACTGCTCCATGAAATGTTTCATGTGTGGTGAAGAAATCAGTGCTTCCACTTCTGATTTTTTGGAGCGTGGTTACCTGGTGCTCTGGCAACACAACTACGGCTGGATCACATCATCCCTTTCAAAGACAAAATATTCTGCATGCTTAGTGAATTGGTAAATGCGAAAGTACTATTTTAGCGCTAAGAAGGAAAGAAAATAAAGAATAAAATAATACCTCGAGGCATTTTGGCGACCGTCAGCTGGAGTAAGCAACAGCTGAATAGGAAGACAGAGGAAGACAACCCAGCTGGATCACCCACCTGTCAGTGCTGTTCACACTTGTCCGTTGTTAGTTTGATGTAGGGAGATCATCGCCATCTGGTAGCTCTATGACTGGCCTGTTTTGGTGAAATGAGACGTGGAGTGGATTTACTCAACTTGGCTCGCTCATCTTGGTCGGCTAATGCGGCTGAGAGTGCCAACGGGGTGTCTGAGATATAATTTCTGATCTACTGATGTCGCTGTATATTTTCGAAAGGCTCAACCCTCAAGCCAGATTTGAGTGAACGTGCTGAAGCGCGTGCCTCAAGCCGCATGACAGCCCACCGAAGTGCACGACGTCTATTATTCGCCATCTTTTGTACAAAGTTGTTTGCTTGATTAAGGCTCCATGAGACGTTGCGCAATACTGACGGACCTGACGGTTTGTGAGTTAGACAAGCCACGCAGCACGGGTTATCAGCAGCACGTTAACAGCTTCCACATGCGTTCTGTCCATTTATGGTTCTAATCCAATATCTTTCGCAAGCATTTAAAAGCCGACTGGGCTTGCCATGGGAAAATTACCTTTTAACTTGTCCACCAGATAACTCCTATTGTTCATAGCCTACTGCTCATTAAACGAAAGTAGGTTCTTCGGAAAGAGAATTTACACAACTTTCGACAATTCGAAATCCAAAAATAAAGTACCTTCCCGTAGAGTTCAGAGAGGGAACAACCAGAGTTTGGGGAAATATTACCCCAAGGCTTCGTATACCTACTAAACAGGATAAAATCGGGACCCCAGAAAAAGTTAAACGGCCTTCCTAATCCTGCAGGGCTTCTCAGTACACATGCTCAGCCATCACGAATTTATTGTATTGTCAAAACACTTAGGAACTTTCCTGATGAATGAAAACAGTCGCATTACCGAGCTTCACACTCGTACCTACACGTAAAGGTTTGTCCACAACACGCGAATTAATCTCAACCCCTTGGCCGGGTAAGTGTCATGATAGATAGATAACAATTTAAATAATTCAGAAAGTTCACGAGTAGTCGGAATATTTCAATGGCTGACTACACAACATATTCTGGGCGAGATGGCCCAAATGGTCAGAACGCAAATTTACTCACCGGAAGGTCCGTGGTTCGAACCCGACCTCTGCCTCTCGATTTCCCCTGCCCAGGCTGGGGCAACGTGGTAGTATCCCAGCCCTCGTGCAACCTTCGGGTGGAATGGCAGTTGGGCACCGGAAGGATGCTACAGCTAAACGACAAAACATATTTGTCGGGTGCACTGAAACGTTTGCCGATGAGCGGGCACAAAGGGATCGTGATAGAAAGCCGGATTACTAGTGACAATTCCGGTCAGATGTAGGTGGCACAAAGAAGAAGCGATTGATGGGTGACACGATGCAAATGAAATAAGCCTAAATGTTGGAGCACCAGAGCTACGGGTGGTCTTGCATCGTGGGCTTTAGATAAGTATCACTTATCAAACTACTGAGAGCTCAGTTTGTGTGTACGGTTGTCTTTCTGTTCGCTGAACCTAACATGACGTTTGCATCCAACTTTCATAGCTCTGTGTCTGGATTAGGCAAAATCTATCACTTTCTGACAAAACATGTAAAAATGTGTGTCAGATTCTAACAGGATTTCATATTTCTACTGCCTTTTTTATTTCCACTGCGTATGGTGCTTGCGCAATATCCAGTCGAGTAGATTCAGTGTTTCATTTGCAACAGCATTGCACACAGCCATTCGTTATTCCATATTGCACCCGATCTACTTAGCCGACCGGTGTTATGACAAAACGATAATATCGAGTTAATTACATTTTTGACGGTTAAAGGTTCAATTGCTTGTTTCTGAAGTGCACTCGATAAGGAGCTCTTGCCTATTGTTTACTCTAAATAGACGTTTTTGATTGACGAGTCAAGAGCTATCGGTTTGTTTACATAAGCTGTGTGCAATGGATTTTGACTGTTCCTAGCTCGTGTGGTCTACGTGTTGGGTGTGTCTGAATCCTCCCGTCATACTGTTTCTGAGTTGATTTTACCCGAGTGAATTTGTCTCAAGAGCACTGAAACACTTTAAATTCCGCTTTGTAACGTTCAGCAAAACTTTGTTCTAGTTTGAGGCAACCAGTTACCGCTTTTCCATCAGTTTCAAGAACTATGAGTGCGACAGGAATTGGTAGAACATATAAACATTAAAGTCTGAGTATTCATCAATCTATCCTTTGAAAATGCATCTCATGACAAAAAGTAAGGAATTTTTGTTGTTCAGGCGCAACCCTTGTAATTTTGACTGTAAAATATGGAGAAATTACAATTTATTGACTATTGAAATCTGAAGCAAGGGTGAGTGGTCCACAACAGAAGAAAAACAGGGAAATCTTTGCCCGGCATCTGACGGGGAGTTGTGCTTGATTGATACAGGAACAGGAGTATCGCTGAGGGATAAAGTGAACCAAGCTGAATGCAGACCATGCGCACTAGCCGTGAGAGCAGTGGATGGATATCGACTGAAGACGGATGGTCTATATACTCATTACGCCCAGGCGACAAGTCTGTGCATCACGCGTTTCTGATCAGCCCACACATAAAGCAGACAATATTGGGGGAAGATTTTCTAATGGGCACAGATTCTGTGGTTGATCTAAAGCAGGGAAAGTTGGTGACAGGGTATTGCGCAATCGAGCTTGAAGGTTATCCAAGCACTGTCCTAAGTGAGCTGCATGTCCGAAAGCTTCCGTCTTTTAACGTACCGTCAGTACAGTCCGTGGTCAAGGAATATTCTGAACTGTTCACAGGCGATTAGGATCCGTTTGGCTCCTGCCCATGGATTGAATACGAAATTTCCCTCTCGTTAGAATGCTTTCGACCTTATGGCCTCCGTCCGTCGCCGCTCCATCTACGGGAAGAGATCCATGAACAGATTCAAGAGATGTTGAAAAATGACAATCGAAGAAGCCAACAGTGCGTACAATTCCCCGGTTGTGCTTGTAAGAAAGACGAACGAAAAATACAGGTTTTGCGTGGATTTCCGGTGCTTGAACGAACTGACCGTAAATCGGATTGTGGCTGTGCCTTCGGTTGCGGAGATTTTCGATTCCCTTCGGCACTCCGGAAACTTCACTGTGCTTGACTTGCGTTCTGGATGCTGGCAACTACCTATCAAGGCAGAGGACCGGGAGGAAACGGCGTTTGCGGTTGGAGACACCCAATATCAATTTAGACGAATGCCGTTTGGTTTGTCTGGCGCACCATTCACATTCCGGCGCCTGATGCTTCGTTTAGCAAAGGGACGTGGGCGATATCGTTGTGTACAGAAATTCGGAACCCGAGACCGCATTTCAAAGGTAAGCTGTATTGAAGCGGATCCGGGAGGCTGTCTGCGGATAAATGAAGCCAAGACAGCTCGCTCGGAGTTCGTTGACACTGCTGGGGCATGAAACGGGTCACAAAGAAGTCAACCGACTGCCATAAAAATCGGCAAAGATCGAGGAGTGTGCTGTTCCCAAATCAAAGCGGTCCCTACGACAGTTTCTTGGACGAGCAGCACATTACAGCCCATTTGTTGAGGATTTCAATACTATTGCTACTCCAGTGTACTCGAGCAAAATCGGAATTTTGAATGGACCAGGGAAGCATATGAAGCTTTTGAGCGTGTCAAAGAGCGGATGTTGGATCATCAACTGATCCTCAAACTGCCCAGGGTCGGAGAGATGTTCACTGTTGCAACGTACGCTAGTGATCGCGGAATCTGCGCAGTCCTAAAGCAGAGGAATGGAGTTATCAAATATGTCAGTCGTGTCCTGACTAACGGTGAACAGAATTACTCGACCATTGAGAAAGAATGTTAAGCGATCGTCTGAGCCCTGGAGGCTATACCTGCTTGGGCAAAGATTTCATGCCAAAAGCGATCACAAACCCGTGGAGTGGATCAGGACCGCCAGAGATTTTCGCGGAAAGCTCGCGCGCTGGGCACTCCGGTTGCAAGAGTACGACTTCACAATCCAGCACGTATCAGGGAAGGGGAATTAATCGGCTGATTGGCTGTCAAGACTAGAGGCTGAAGATGAGTCCCCAAGGTCATGATTAGATGCAAATCCAACAGCAGGGAAGTTGCAACCGAATTGGCGAATCGAAGGAGCAATTAGAACGGAAAATGAGAAAAGGAAGTGGAAACGTTCCAGAGTCACTTTGATCGGCTTAGTCTGAATAAACCTGGCATAATTTCGTGGAACGCCACCGACTCGGATGTTGTGCTACCCGTTATACCTGGCGTCTTGAGACGGAAGCTTATCGTCAACTGCCATGAGATGGCATATACCAAGACGTACGACTTACTTCAGCAGAAGGCCTACTGGTCGGGGGGTGAGGAGTGAGGTAATGGATCTTGTGGTGTCCTGTAAGCGGTGCCAACCGATGAAAGGGGATACGAAAGGGGCAACCCATCCCATGGAACCTATTCCTGTCTCAGAAATAGGCGAGTTATGGTCCATTGACGTCATGTGCCCCTTTTCAGTGACAACTAATGGGAATCAATGCATAGTGATAATGGCAGAACACTGTCGCGATGGATTGAGGCGGCACCGTGCGATCCAGCGGGCGACGTTGATCAGCGGAGTGGCAATGCATCACATCGTGGCCAACCATGGGGTGCCAAAAAATGATCCTAACCGATCAGGGGCCTTGCTTCGAGAGCGAAGAGTTTCGTAATTGCTTGCAGAAGCTGGGTATCAGACGGCTAAGAACGGCACCATAACACCCGAAAACAAATGGCCTAACTGAACGTAACAACCGAACGATCAAGGAGTGGCTTGCGGCCAAAGGAGTTGACCGGGAAATTAACTCTCCAATGGTGTAGTTAGCCCGTCGTGCTTCCACACAGTCAACCACAGGCAAGTCCCTGTTTATGCTTATGTACGGTCGACATCCGCATCTTCCGGTTAATCAGGAAATTGGCTTGTGGCCGGCAACCCGCTTGTCTCCGTAGGAGCTAGAGGAAGAAAGAAGGAGAGCTCGAGGAAACTTGACCGCTGTTCAGGAATGGATCAGGCAGAAAACGGCAAGTAGAAAGGCACGAACATTTTCCATAGGCGCGGAAGGTCAGATTCCTGGAAGGAGTGGACCAAGGTTGCAGAAGCTAGGCAGTCGATGACAAGGGCCGTTTGTCATTACCGACCGCCCGGAGAACATCCATACTATTCAAGATGGCTGGGGATCAAAGAGTAAATGGGACGCAGTTTCGTAAGTGGCATGATAAGCCCGAAGAGCGGCTGAGTAGACCCGCTGCCGAAGCCGACCTGACGGAGGGAAATGAAAGTCGATGGTAGGCGAACGATCTTTAAAAGGAGGTGTGTCACGGTAGTAGTACGTTTTCTCGTAAATCCGCTTTGTGTCTCTTGAAAAGTAAGATCTATTATGGAATTTGTGGAGTCGCATTTGCTTGCATTTGAGCAACAGTCAGTGAATATCCAGGAAAGTTCTTGAAGACGCGTTCAAGGAGAAGATGGATATTCGGCTTTTGTAAACAAGAGTTCTGCTTCCCTGTCTGTAACTGTTTACTTGGCGTTTTCTAATAAATAACTCCTCAGCGAATACCCTTTTCTTTCACAGATAGCTCTATTTTCAAGTTTGACTGATGTATACACCCTGCTGTTTTCAACCCGGTAATGGTTTTCTTAGGTCCGAAATTAATTAGACACATTTGTTATACTCAAAATTATCTAGCCTACAAAATTAAACTTGAACTCCAACATTCCACTTCTTCAAAAGGGTATTCTAAAACTGTGACTCTCACAAATCATTCACGCGAAAGCGTACATAAGATGTTAATAAGGTAAGAATTATGGACCTAAGAGACGCAAACATTTCTTGATGAAACGAGCGAGTAGCATCTGGTCAGGTGGTTTGAAGCGCGGTTGCTGAGTCTGTCGGAAGTCTGACCAGTATGTTATTGGACCCTATTAGTGCACAGGTGGCGATAGTCATAATACAAATCAGAAGGTGAATGTGCACTAATAAAAACTTAGTATTTCTGCGACACGTATAAAAATAAATACAATGTGAAATGGGAGCAAGTCAAAAAGGGAACTTATCGGATGCGAGAGTCCCTTGGTGGAAGTCCGGACGGCGGGAACGTGTTTTTCTCCGCAGTTAGACTGCTACACGTACTCCATGGTTGTCCGTGGACTTGTGGAGAGGTTGACGTCCTGCTCCCTGCGCGCGCGCGAGTCTGTGTGTCTTGACTGGGTTTGGTTTCTCTTTATGTAGGTCCCAGTGCGTAAACGTGGGCGCGTCGGCACATGATTGGTCGCTACGCTGACTAGGCGGTGCAGACAATCGATGTCCGATGAGTCAGCTTAATGCGACGTGTTTGTGCGTATAAAAAAGACAAGCCCCGCGATCCAGTGAGCGACTGTTAATTCCACAGTCAAGTATGTGGATGAGTGGGTCGCTACAACCCCTCTAAGGCGTTTGTTCATTACTGTCAAATTTTCAAGGGACGTGAATAAATAACACCGGAAATAACACTGGAAATAACACCGGCAAATGGGGTTTATATTTTCGTGTCTGGTGGCTCGTAATCGCTTAGTGTGTTTTCCAACATCTCCACACTTAAAGCCGCCTCTTTCTTCAATTGAAAGAACAAGACGCGACACTGTACCCATTCAGCCCAAAGGTGTCTCCTTATCATTTTCTAGTTTAAAGTCCCAGGACAAGAAACCCGCTCTTTATCCCCTTATGGCTTCCCTGGCGCTAAAATACTTACCAGAGTAGCTTTGTACAAAATCAAGCATCTAGCCCAGATAAATGGACACTGAAAAGGTGCGACAAAATTAAGTAACGAGCTGTGCGCTATCTGTAAGTGGATTTTTAAAACCAATGTTGTTTCTGTTCGGCCTGTTCCAGTCTGGCTAATATATTCGTCCGGAAATTCTGCACTGGGTACTCGGTATGCGTAGCTTTTGTGGTGTTTGTGTTCGACAGACAGCTTAACCCTCAAGTGATGAGACTGAGATTTAGTAAAAAAATCGTGGCTTCGGGATTACCGTTATTCTGTTTTATCCTTGCAGAAAACACCGAGTTTTCTTACCCCGTATCGCCGCCGTTGATAAGCGTTTTTTTGGCATTTATTGCCATAATAACACATCAATAAGCAATGATGCTATCCTAACTTGAAGATTTTCTTGTTAAAAAAACAGGTAGTGCTTTAAATTGTCCAATATTATTTGGGCTGAGATGAGCTCATGATTCCCGAAACGCAACAATTTTTGCTACCATTAGAGTGATTATAAATACCGTATTCCTAGTTATCGAAGATGAAAACAAAGGATGCGTATATAAGCCACAAACCCGTGAAGATTGTTTGGGTAGAATATGAAAGCTAATTGCATGTATTTTATTTATTTCATTTAGTTTACAAGACTGCAGGACATGATTAGTTGTTTCGATGTTTTTGGTGACTTGAGGTTTTAATTGATGGACTTAATGTTGAGACAATCCAACTAGGACTACGAATATATCGAAGGTAAAACACTTCCGTCTGGTTTTCCAGTCTGGCGCTTTTTCATTTTATTTGTTTTTTTACCTTCTCTTCTGGAATAACTGCCCAAGTTTTCATTGTTAGTTTATCAGCAAGATTGATTGTACTTTCGATCTAATCAGTCACATCACAAGTTACATGGACCCATTGTTTATCAAGGTCTTTCAGTATCCTGTTTTCACGCCGTCTACTGTATCCCGTATTACAAAAAGACTTTTAGGCTATCAATAATCAGGGGAAAAGTTAAAAGCTGTACACCACGACCT